ATGCTCCTCTGCTGCGTCCCAAATTTCCTCATTCTCGTCTTCGCCGGGTTCCACGTAGTCACCGTCACCTGGAGCCCACTCCACCCTGATGAGCTCAAGCTCCTTAAGCTCGGGAAACAGGACGAGCAGGTCACACAGCGCACGCGGATCATACTCCTCGTGCCTGCGCCACCGGTACCACTCTCCGTCGATGGTGAGCGACTGGAGGCGAAACTGCTGGATGATGGGCTGCTCAGGCCGCTTGTATAGGACGCCGCGAAGCTCGAGGACGAGGAGCCCGGGGAACATGGGCAAGTAGCGCGGGAGCACATTGGCGAAGTCGATCCTGCTATTCTTCCCACATCCCCAGCGCAATGTTAGCTTCTTGGCGTACTGACGGTGCGTAAAGATGGGCTCCTGGACGAAGTCCTGCAAGAAGCGATTCGCGGTCGATTGCTCGCCGGGGAGCTTGATGACGAGCGAGAGCGTGTGGAAGCGAGCACGGAGGGTCATGTCCGCCCATTCCTTACACACTCTAGACGCGGCGAAGAGAGAGTTCTTGTGTGTTTTGACATCTCTGCAATGTACGAGGTCAAAGGTGCAGTCGTTGGCATCGTTGTGCCTTACGATGTCGAAGATGTGGTCATAGACGTCGAAGGGCAGGCTCACAAGTGCCTTGGAGGACGCCATGGTTGTACGCAATGATAGTCTTGGTTCGAAGTAGCTCAGAGGCAATTTAAGATGCAGCTTAAAGGCGGGGAAGAGAAAAAAGATGTGAAATCAGGGGTTACGCTGGCGAGATGGGACGCAGAGCAGACAGGCGGATCAATCACCGCCTCCTTCCAAAACAAGTCATCCGGGCCTTGAGAGCGCCCACCTGGCAGCTCTATGCCCATTGTACGACGCTTCAGCATATCATTGATGTAGATGTGTGATATGATGTAGGTAGTTTATTGTGTTAAACTATCTCAAGAACAGAGATGCCCGAATTCTTTGAAGGAGATACAGTAAGTTATCGAAAGGCCTTACGTCAGCCATCACACTCGCAGACTTCATCAAGAAGACAAAGACGCCCTTTCGTATGCAGCTTGGGAAATGCGTCCACAAGGAGCGCATTCAAGCAGCTGTGATCCTGAAGATCCCACACTGATCTCCCCTGCGCAATGCTCATTCAGCGGACTCTGACAGACTTGACGAGGCCCTTATCCACGAGGCAACCAAGCGCCGCGTCCGCTTTGTTTGCGAATGGCTGGTGTTGCGAGAACGCATGCCGATCCTTAGACATCGACAGTTCCCCGTACTTCTTGATTGACGGGAACAGTTTAAGCTGGAGCTCAATGTACTCGAGGGTGGGAGTGTCGTAGGGACACTTGCGCAGCGCCGTGACGAACGCGGCGAGCGCGGACCAGGGCTCGCCTGGAGTGGCGTCGGCGTCGTAGTCGTATCGGTGAATAGCGAGTTCGATGACTATTATGAGCCGATGCAGGCAAGGCAAGGCAAGGCCGCAAGGTCAAATTTCGGAGATGTGTGCCGCATGTTCTCTGGTGCGCTGCTGTTAGTACGGCAGCGATACAGGGGTGACACGGGAGACGTACCATGATGGTATGAGTACTTCAGGGCGCACTTGAGATGTTCCAATGTTGCCGCGCAAGCGATCACCGCTGGCTCTGTGCGGTAACAAGTCCCACTGGTGTCCAGATACCTGACCTGCGCCGTAGGCGGTATTCGTAGGAGACCTGGTGGAGGAATAAAAGTGTGGAGCGCGACAGAGTCAGATATTTGAGGTCAGTCTTCGTCGAGGTTCACGTTCGGGCCACCCCACTCGACGTCATCCTCTTGACGGGTTCGTGGGCATATATGTTGAAACTTGGGCTCCTTGAACGACAGGAAGAGGCAGAGCAGATCAATGGTTGCACGCTGGTGAAGCTGCACGCGCGAGTCATAGGTGTAGTCACAGATTGTAAGTGACTGTAGGTCGAAGCGTTGGCGGATGCGCTTTTCAGGGCGCTTGTATATTACGCCGCGAAGCTCGAGAGCGAGGAATGCAGGGAAGAGGGGTAGGTAACACGGTAGCGCATGTTCGGAGTCGATCTCGCTCTTCTCCTTGTCGTGACTCCAGTGCAGTGTCGGGCTCTCTACGCATCTCTAAAGCATGAGTTCTGGGAAGATGGGCTCGTGCACAAAGTCTTGGAGGAAGAAGTTCGCAACCGAGCTCCCGCCGGAGGAGCTTGACCGCGAGCGAGACCGTGTAGAAGCCTGCGCGGAGGGTCATGTCTGCCCGTACCTTGCACACCGCGGGGGCGGCGAAGAGAGTGCACTGATGTGGTCGTAGACGTCGAAGGGCAAGTCGATCGGCAAGTGTCTTAGGAGACGATATGGATATGTGCATCAAGGTAGTCCTGGTCTGAAAAATCTCAGGCAAAGTAGTTGCAATTGTAGATGCGGGGTCATGCTGGCGGGACAATAGTCGTACCTTTCCAAAATAAGATGTCCGCCCTCGAGGTTGTTAGCTTGGGGGTGATTGCACGATACCACGGCTGGGGCGTTCTTGCCCGGTTGCCCGACGCTGTCGTCCTTGCGCAGCATGAAGCGGACAACGCAATAATATAATATAAAATTATCTCAAGCACAGGAAATTCATGAGCACATTACTTCACAGGTTGTCGAAAGGACTATCTATATCATCCATCGCACTCGCAAACTTCATGAAGAAGACGAAGGCAGTCTTTCTTGTCCAGCTGAGGGAATGCGCGCACAATGGGCACGTTCAAGCAGCTGTGATGCTGGAGAATCCACGTTCTTTTCCACTGTATGCCTCCCCTCCACTGGACTTTGACAGACTCGACGAGACCATCATCTACGAGACGACTAAGCTCCGTGTCCGCTCGATATACGAATCGCTGGTGGTGTGAGAATACGCGCCGCGCCTCGGCCATTATCTGGTCTCCGTCGTTGTTTCTAATGGATCGAGACAGTTCGAGCTGAAGCTCGATGTACTCGAGTGGGGGGACACTGTCGGGACGCTTGCGCAGCGCCACGAAGAAGGTAGCAAGGGTACTCCAGGGCTCGTCTTTCAAGAAACTTAGCTCTTCGGTATCGTCTTGGTGATCAGCAAGCTCAACGACAACCGTGAGCCGACGCAGGACAGACAAGTTCGCCAGCTTGACATTTGGGAGCATGTACTGTTTGTCCTCTGCATAGCGAGTTGTTGTTAGTATGACAACGATATGGCAATAATACGAGGATACATACTTACGTAGTCCACGAACTTCAGGGTACAGTTGAGGTGCTCCAATGTCGCCGCACAGGCGTTCACCACAGACTGGGTGTGGTAGCTGTAAAGTTTTGCGATGTCTATATACCTGACCTCCGCCGTGCGCAGTACCCGCAGGAGAACGAGCGGGGCACCGGAATCGTCGAACACGACAGAGTTGATGCGGGGGAGATGCTCGATTTCGACGTCGTAGCTATCGTCAACATCATTGTCCCCTTCGCCGTGCGGGTCGCATACCTGCTGAAGCTTGAGCTCCTTGAGCGTCGGGAAGAGGCAGATTAGATCACAGAGTGCGCGCTGGTCATGCTGTCCGTGAAACCGATGGTTATACAGGTACCCATCGATCGTAAGCGACTGGAGGTGGAAACGCTGGGAGATGTGTTGTTCGGGGCGTTTGTATATCACGCCGCAAAGCTCAAGCGCGAGAAGCCCGGGAAAGAGGGACAGGTACTGAGGCAGCACGTGTTCGAAGTCGATCTCGCTCTTTACTCCCTCATGGCTCCAGTGTAGTGTTAGACTCTTGACATATTGCCGACGCTTGAGCTCTGCGAAGACGGGCTCGTTCACGAAGTCCTGGAGGAAGAGGCTCACGACCGAGCTCTCGCCGGGAAGCTTGACGACGAGCGAGAGCGTGTGGAAGCGTGCAAGGAGGGTCATATCTGCTCAATCCTTGCATACCCCCGACGCGGCGAAGAGGGTGCGCTTGCGTGTGTTGACGTCGTTGTGCCGCACGATGTCGAAGATGTGATCGTAGATGTCGAATGGCATATCTACGAGTGTTCTTGGGAGTAACATGGCTGTCTTCTTCAATATCTAGTGTGCGGTTCTAAACGTCTTGTGGAAGAGGGAAAGAGCCATTCAAGAGCATAGAGG